GTTCACAAACACAGAGCTCAGCAACATCACCTTCTAGGTTTCCACTGGGTTCTGGGAATCAAAATGTATTCACTGTGGCGTGGTTTTGTTGAAGCTGCAGTGGAGACAAACTGCTTATAATCCTCTCTAAAGCCAATTATGAACTCAGAATGGATTAAAGTAGTATAAAAACGCAATACATATATGTTCAACTGTATGTGGGTACATACTGTGTGTATATGTATATATAGTGGTAAAAAAAAGGAACCAAGGCTACATTGACGCTAACCTGAAGAAGGAAAACATGATGTCGTAAATGAAAGATCAAAGTAGAAAGACCAGGATGACCTAGAAATATATAGCCATGATTATTCATGGTTTGTGCTTATAAAAAATGTGATAGCAATAAAGGTTGTGCAGTTTGACAGACCTGAGGGATATAGAACATTAATATGGTTAAATTCCAGTTGTATCAAAAGTTTCCTCAGTGCATTGCAAACATGCATTACTATAGTGCAACATCTTTGAATAGATGTCTGATGTGAGGGTAGTTGTTTTTTTTTTAATTTTGAAATTCTATACAAAAGAAAAGATTTTTGCTATGAAACCAAACAAATGGATGCTTGCAAGATGTCTAATCTGGTACTGATTTTAAGATTTTAAAAATCATTTTCCATATTAAATATTCACCTCTATTTCTGTGAACACGCTGTACTTATTTATATACATTAAAAATATGGTTCAAATGACTTTTTCCTCCCAGTTTTAAACACAAAGGGTAAAATTCTGGCCCCATTCAAGCTGATCAGAGCTTTCCTGTGGACTTTAAAGACACCAGAGTTGCACCCATTTCTGAACAGGTTTGGTAACTCAAAACTGAGATGTGTGTTTGATGCAGAACTCTGCAGCCATGATCACCAGTCTGGAAAGACCAAACATCACAGTACCAGTGCATTTCTTTTGGGTGAACTGAGATTAGGTGGGGCAGCAACTGTGTGGTTAGTCTGCATAGCAGCACCCTCTACTGATGTATTGGAAAACACTGCATGACAGCACATAGCGAGCCCAATCACATAAAAAACAATTCAGAGGCAGGGATGTCAGTAGGATGAGAGACTTTAAAAATAAGCTCTGGTAATATAATGGATTAGCTGCTTTGTTAACTTTAGGATAGAAGGAAGATAAGAGGAAGAAAAGATGTCCAAGTCATGAGTTTCCATTGGCTAGGAATGCAAGATGGAATTACTGTGTTTTGCTCTATATAAATTACCACTCTTACTAGAAAACCAGAGATCTAAAAGACTTGATGTGAACAAGAAGTGACAATAACAGAAGTCCCATCTTGTCCTGCAACTTGCTAAAAGTCTATAAACCACTTGCCTTAATGTTTGTGCACAAATGGACAAATCAATTGGGTGCAAGATCTTTTATGGCTACTGAGTTCTTGACTCCAAATTATAATTTGGATGGATATATCGTTTAAAATACAAACTGTATTGCAGTACTGGCTTTGTGATTAAGGGAGTGATCAAGGCAAATTAAATCTGAATGCAGAATTTAAAAATTAAAGAAAGGCACAGTGTTAGGGCATAGGTTCCAATGGACCAATTTCCTCATTAACTTAGGTTTAATAATGAGACAATTAGCCACTTTTCAAGAAAATATTCTGGAAATCTGGCAGTAAGAGTTCCAAACAGATTGCTAATAGGCTGCAGCATGTTAGAACAGGAACTCCAAAAAACCCTATCGTGCATCATACTAGCCAACACTAAATCGTCAAATACTCTGCTACAGTAATCTGTAGTATAAAATCAAGTTCCTTTAAAAGGGTTGCTGAAGCATAATATTGTATGCCCATACCCACACAGGTTATTGCATAACTGAAGATACTTCCCTGGGTTAAAGAGCATACTGTACAAGTCAAATTAGCCTTTTTTGTTGTCACAAGGGGTTTGTCTATCCTCGAGATTTTAGCCACTGAACGCGCAGACAGAAGAAGTGACAATTTTTGCCATATCTGGCCCCTGAAAACTCTCTGTGACCAAACAGACGTGCACGGCTGCAGAGTGCTTTAAAAGGGCCCCATCCCACGAAAATCTGAACCCTCATTGGGTTCAGATGAAGACACTCCAAAACAGAGTGGCTTCAGTAACTTGTGTCTGTGTGCAAGGCTGGGCTGACAGCAGCTCAGCCCTGCTCCAGCACAGTCTTCAGAATGGGAGTGGGGAAAGACAGCAGAGGGAGTTCGGTTTGATTTTACAACATATCATTTTGTCATAGGTAACAAAATGACATGTTGTTTTTTTAGCTGGTGATGGAGGGTGGGGTGGGTGGACTGGCGCCTCCAGAATGAGCTCCCTCTTCTTCCTTCCCCCCTCCCATTCTGAAGACAGTGCCAGGGCTGGGAGGGGCCTTTCTATGGGGAGAGCAGCTGCAGGCTTGCAGCTGCTCTAAACAACAGCTGGATTCCCCACTTCCAGGGCTCAACAGCAAACTTCTGTTTGGTCCAGGGGATCATTGAAACTCATGGTGTTTCCTACGAAGCGCCATGAGTTACAACGGGGAGCTACTCTTGTCTGTGCCTTGATGCAACTACCTTAAGAACAGCAACTTGTTTGCAATGGTGCAGTGCATTTACCCTAGAAATCTGCATCAGTGCAGTTACATCAACATAGTTGGTGACTACACTTGTTATAGACAAGGCCAAGGATTGTTATTCAAATATGACACTTAGTAATAGCCTGTTAGCACTAGCCAGCGAGAAAGAACGTTTATAGGCAACATAAAAAGCTTTGTGCAATAAAGAAATCATACTGGACAATTCACTTTTCCCATTAAACAATCCACCACCACAGTAGGCAAAATGACTTGCTGATCCAATAATAATGGATAGGTCCCTTTTTCTGCTGTGAGGTTTGAATTCAAGGGACTCTGAGGTTATGTTGACAGACAGCCTGGGATTGCATGGCACTCCCTTAACTGGGTTGGGGTGTAGAAAGAAGAGAGCTATGTTAGTGCAGTGTTCTTTTTCCACTAACAGTGCTTCCAATAGCAGAGTTAGCCCTAAATGAGCTAGGGACATGATCTGCCCAGGCTGCACTTGGGAAGTGACGTTCTAGCACAACTGAACTACTGTAAGTTTAGCTAGCTTGAGTGCAATGTAGCAGCTCCATGCACATATCTGTGTTCAAATCAGAGAATACAAAACTTCTCTATATACCTTTTCTTGCACAGCAAGGTGTGGACTAGCACCTGCTGCCTGGGCTTGCCAGGGACTTAGGCAGCTAGTCCCTGTTGTTTCACTTCTATTATTGACCAGACTAGCCAGATTAAATATTTCTTGGACTTGCCTTCATGTGCTGCAATCATACTTCCTGACTATGGCATGTAGGAGATGAGATTGTTGGTTGTTTTTTTTTAAATGGTTTTCAATGCTGAATGTGCCATAAGCACATCCACGCTGACTTTGCTGCCTCTCAATACGCTGAAACTGATGTTGGTGTAAAAATGCATTACTGAGGTCTACCATTTCTTGGAATTTGTTTTAAAGTCCGTGGATCTTAGCAGATCTGAAAAGACAGTAACTTAACTTTTCTAAAAACTTGATCTTAAAACATTATACTCTGTTGTTTGATAGTCCCCAGCTCTACAACAGCATTTGTCTAAAAGGGCTTTGATATAGGCAGGTAATTACAGTAAAAGCTCGGTTATCCAGCATCCCCCGGGAATGGGGGATGATGGTTAATCAAATGTGCACCGTCTGGTGCACTCCTCGGCATCAATGTGCCGGGGAACATAGAGGGGCGCCCCGTGCAGGCTGCTTTGCCCTGGGCCGTGGGCTGAAAAAGTGGTGAAGAAAAACTCAGCTCGCGGTGGCGAAATGGGAGGTCCCCTGGAAGTGGTACTTCCGGTTTCGCTTTTTCCGCATTGCTCGGATGCTAGTTAGTAGAGTTTTCCAGCTAATAAAGTGCTGGTTAACACAGCTTTTACTGTACTATTAAATCAATTTTAGAGGCAAGAAATCAGGGACAGAAGCAAAGTCACGCTGAGTGAGTTTGGGATTATGCAATTTGACCAAGCCTCTCTGACATTCAGTTCTTCTCAGTCTAATTGCTAGATCACATCTCCCTTTATATGCAAATGTTAGGTCATATTTAAAAGTCCACAATGTGAGTTCAAGGCCCATTGGCTTAAGAATCTTATACAGTACTGTAGTGAAATGGAACCTCCAAACATACAGAAATCTTTCCATTTAAGACTGATCAAAGAAAGAGAAATGACCCAGAATATTTCAGAGGTGATGCCATATGGTAGCTAGAGATGTTTGGCACATTGAATTACATTAAGAATATCAGGATCACAACCCACTCCAAAGGTCAGAAGCAATCACAGTAGTGTGTTACATCTGTTTGGATCCAGTCCACTTCATTTTCATGTCTAAGTTTTCAGATCACCAGACAAAACAAAAAGGAATGTCAGAAAATAAATATATCATCGAAAGGGAATCAACCTTAATCGATGTACCAATTAAACCATTCAGAATTTCTACATGCACCTGTTGGCTCTTCACCCTATTGTCAATGCACTAAGGTGACCTCCCATCCAGGCAAAGTTCCACCCATTAGTATTTGCTAAATGTTAATAGCTTTGATAAGTTTTCTTAAGGTAGCTTTTACAGCCAGAGGTTATACTCATTAAGTTCCCTGTTAGCAATTACTGCCACACCCATTGCTGGTAGTGAACAGTATCTGCTATGTGAAAATGTTTCAGTTCTTGCACTCTATCACCTGGCTTGTGAGTAACGATCAAGTGGATTTTTACAAGAGGTGAAGTACCTGGGCAAAAACTTACAAAGCTGAACGTAATCAAATTGCTAAATCTATACCCTCCAGTCTACCCTATTACTGCGGTAACCATTTCACTTCAGTGGATCAAATGCAAGTCTTCTCTTTAATCTATCACACAACAGATGCAACTCAGGCATTATAGTTTAAGCATGCAACATGTCATAGGTAACAAAATTGATTAGATAGCTGTGTATATTAAATAAATCTTTGTGATAGAGTAAAAAATAAAATCACAGAAACAATTGGTGAGAACATGTCTGCAGGCTCAGCTCTACATCTGGGTTTTATACATCAGCAGCAGCCAGATTCACAATTGATAGATATTGCACCAGAAAGACATGTGCAGTGAGAAGGAATATAATCACATTAATGTTTAGGATTTAAAAAAAAGATATGACCTCCATGTGTTACATAAAGTGCCTTTAGAGTTGGTGCAGTTAGAAACAAAACAAAACAAAACAAAAAAAATGTTATTTCGCTATCATTAGCAAATGCATACAAATAGGTTGACAAAAAAAGATCTGGTTTCCACAGTTCCAAATCAAGCAGTGCCAGGTTTCATTCAAAATGCCTCCATTGCAAACAGTAAAGAGGAAAGGATAATAAAAGAATCACTGTACAAAGTTAATGATAGGTTAAGCATCTTCTTCTATAATGATGCCAACCCTTTCCCAAAAGGCTTTATAGCACATGTAAATATTACCAAGGAATAAATGAGGCGATTTCTTTATTGAATGTGAGATTTGGCATGCTATGTTATGATCCTCTCTTAACTTACAACTATTCTACTGATTTATACAAAAATGTAACATCCAATGTGTACTTATTCTTCTGGGTACAGAAAATATTAATGTGCTCAGTGAAAAGGTTTTAGATTTGCTCTGAATATATCCCATTTGTAGAAAATTTCTGACAGGTTTCTTCTACTTGTCCAATAGGTTGGAGACAAGGCTCAAAATGCACTTTGAAAGTAAAAATGCCACTGGCATCAAGTCCGGTATGAAATTAAGATAAGAAAAATGCTCATTTTTCCAAGCATATGATATTTTTAATTGTAATGAAATAAAATCTGAAAATATGTCTAAATCAAGTAAAAAGTAAACATGAGCTGTAATACTATACCTGTAAAGTGATTAATTCCATTCATTGTCATTAGAAAGTATGTAAAATATTTATTAAGGGCTTTGCCTACAGAGGCACAACATAAATAGAACAAGTCCTGCTGAAATGTAATCAGAGTACACATCAACCAGTCGGGTAATTTGCTGTGGAAGTGTCAGAAATACTATCCACAGGGTCTAGTTCAAAACTTCTGAATTTAGGCAACTGCACTGTAGAAGAGATTTGCTCCATGAACCAACATTGTGCAACTGTTCTGTCATAGTCACTCACTGTCCGTTAGGCAAAATTCAAAAGTGCAAGCAGAACTTGCTCGATGGAAAAAGAAAAAAAAAAAAGTAGCTGTTTTAATCCACTCCTTCAAATCCTTGAGCATTTTCCACTGCCATAAGAAGTCTCTCTCGTAAATCTTCAAAAGATTCATAAGGAGGTAAGTCAAGGCGATTAAAGCTGAAAATGAAGTAGAAAAAGTATCACTAAAAAAAATCAATTTAAAACCGACAAATAACTGTATATGGCTCAATAATTTATTACGATTAATCATCATAGTATTCTTATTGGCCATGATAACAATAAGTAACAAAAACAGTAACAACCACAACAATAATAACAATACTAATAAAATGGAGGCTGCCTTCGCCTGTGAAACTTATTGTCCTTTTGAAACTAGCTCTCTAGTGCCCTTTCTGTCCCTACACTGCTAATAGTAGCTGAACCCAAACCTTGGTTGTACTTAAGTTCACATTCACAGGTAGCCAGTTGATTTTTTCCTATTTAGACCTGAGATTGGAAAATTGTTAAAATTGGCTTGGCTTAAAAAATGGTGATTTTTAGTTGCATGGTTTAATAGAAAATCAGGCTTCCAACAAAGTTTCATCATTTTCAGAGCTTCAGCAGAGATGCACTGAATTTAAAGGACAGATGTTCATCTATCCTCTGGAGACAGCTACACATGGCAGGCAGCAGGTCCACCGGCAAGCCCTTGGAGAATTTACTGGATAATGAAAACTGTTCTGTAAGATATCTGGATATATGCATGGAAAACCAAAAAAATTACATTGCTGCTACAGAATACTGTCAAAAACACAGACAAAGGAGAGCCCTGTTTTCTAAATGCTATAAATTTTACAGTATTTTTAACCAGATGTGGTAAAAATCAATGACAGAACTTGATTTTTTCATTTAAATTATGCTTTAAACAACAAAATAGTTAAAAACATCTAAGAAACAATTTCCTTAAAAAAACATTTAAAATGAAATCTGAATTTTACACAGGAAATGTCAGGGCCCAAACTTATTATAATCCTTCAAACATTTAAATAGTAAAAAAAAAAAAAAAAAAAAGTTGAATCCATAAGCAACCAACAAAAGCTCTGAGTTAAAGGCTGTGTGATCTTTAATATGGCGAAGGAATCTGTGAGGGATAACTAACTCTTGTGCTCAGGCTCTATAAGAGGGTCACAACAGATCATGTACTGCTTTTACAGCTGGTTCCAAGAATGAAGGCCACCATGGGGGGGCTGTGCTGCTGGGTACAAAAGACTAGTCAAGTCATCACAGGTGTTGGGACCAAGCCCCTAGATTCTTGACTCCAAGAGACATCACCATTCATCTTATGAGGGTCATTCACTAAACTCATTTAAGCAGATTATTTCTGCTTAACAGTGTCTCCTCCTACTTATGTTCCGACTGACTCCGTTTTTGTAGACTAATATATAGCAGTTTACACATCTTCTTTAAACAAACAAATTATCTGGATAAATAACGAGTCATTTTGTACATGTAATTATATTATAGTCACTATTTTAATATAGCTTCCTGACACAAATCATAAGTAAAGTTTATCTAGTCAATGAACAATAGAACTTTTGGCATCTTTTAATATATTAGTAATATATGGGTGATACAAACCAGAAAATACCAAGTTTTATAATTGTTTCAATAAATGCATACATTGATAGGGTACCTCCTGAATCAAACTTAGTATAAAGGCCCTATTTGTAAGTCTGTATGTTTTATAGATTAATGTCAACCAATGAGAATGTGCCTTGATTAAGAAAGTAACTGCAATACAAATGAAAGAATTGATTAAAACCAATTATTTAAAACAAGGACTTTCAATTGGTTTGTTTAAATTATCTTACGATAACTTAAAATCCACCCAAAAACCCTCTAGAATTTTTATTACATTTTTATTAGAGGAATTCCTAAGCAAAAAGCATTCACAGCAGTAACTAATCTTTTGGTGCTTTTGCTTCATAGGTTTTTAGTCCCTGTCACCTGCGGGTTTTGGACATTTTTTGGCCAACTTCAGTCAACTGAGCTGTGAACTCAGATTTTCAGTGAATTGTGACATGACAGGGGCATATGGAGCCTCTTGGAACCAGCTGCCTCTGTGCAAGGTGTTTTCCTGTGGTTGTGCTTTGTTCAGTATTTTTCAGATCGCTAATTCTATACCCACTTTCCAAGTAAGGGAATAAAATCATTCATGGAAACTGAATCCAAGCACATGGTGATGAGACTAAAAGCTGCCTGCAGAGCGGTACAGACTGGGGGGAAGAGGGAAGAGGAGAAGGAAAGATTTCTGAAGTGAATCCCAGCACCAAAAACAGAGATATCAACTCCCTACTTGTATTTTTGCCAATCTTGCCTTCCCATATCAAGTATCTATTTCAATTCATTAGTTTCTCAGAAAGAAAGAGGAAAGGGTGATAAATTTGTAAGACATATGAAACAAGGGAAGGAATAGTAATGGACTGCCAACGTGAAGTACTTTTGTTTCTCTCCTTGTGCCCCTCAGGAGTACACTATTCCCCCTTTGTGCCATCTACCTCTCACTACAAACAAAACTCCATGCATTTCCCGGCGGTGTTTGAAGCTCACCATTCCTATCAAGTGGCAGAACTGACTTCAGAATGCCAAGGCCTGAGATTTAGATTCCTTTAAAATCAAACGACTCTTTTAAGACACGGGAAAATATGTATAATTTCTCCTCTTGATTTTCTTCCTCACAATATTTGACAGGAATCTTAAAGTTGTTAGGGCTGCTGAGCTACTGTTTTTAGCTTTGCCAAGGGTTATATCCTATTTCTCCTTTATACACCTAAATGTCATGTATGCAAGGCCCCCTCTACAGATTTTACATTTATGCTGTGATTAACATGTTAAATCATTGCATAAATGGGGAAGTGCTGTATCCAATTTAAAGGTGCCATAAAATGGGAAACAACCCATAAAAATGTTCCACATATAATACAGAACATTTTTATGGATGGTCTGTATGTCACCTTATATTGAGAGTGTGACCAAGGCTGAAAATCAACTAATCAACCAACAATCAATTGAGCCTGGTGCAGTCCAGCACCAGGATTGTCAATTAGTTGACTGCCAACCTCTGATCCAAGGCTGATAACTGGAGGGGTTGAGGGGTGATGACAGTTCTCTTATTGGGCAGCTTAAACTTTGTACCTGGCACTTCTAGTTTGGCTGCTGGATATGGAGGATCAGAAGCTCCCAGTGGGAGGGAGCCCATGGGTTAAAAATCCCTAGGGGTGGGGAGCTCCTCGACTCCCCCTGTAAAGCCCAGCCACAGCTGACTGCATGTCCTGACAGCCCTGGATGAAGCTGACCCAGGACTGTCCAAGATTGGGGATGACACTCAGCTACCTGTTGGCCCCCCATGAGGCTGTGGCACCTGGTGCTGAATTTGCCAGCACTTGGTGCTGAATTAATATTCTGGACTCACCTGGCACTGGCAAGTAGTAATGGTACAATTAGGATCTGATCCTGAATCCCAAAATGGTGCCTCTTGCCATACATATGCGACACAGCAGAAGGCACGACTGTTGGGATTGGGAATCAGATTCCGTCGTGCCACTAAATGAACGTGTGCCAGAAGACCAAAGCTTGTTTAGGCCTTCATACAAGCTTTAGATTTTACTTCCATTTGTTGCAGGTCTGTGTGCAACTGCCTGAAATAAGAAGAGGCAGTGGGGGTCGCCTGGTCATTACAGTACTTGTCCATAAGCAGAAGACCCAGATTCTACTCTAGGTCTCGCTTATGTCTCAACAAAGTGCTCCAACCACCAACCCATGGGTTACACATTACCCAGAGCACCCCTCATCCCTCTTCTGAAAGCTGGCCAGTTGGGCAGCAAGGGAAAAAGTACAAGGGACCAGGATGAGCAAACCAACAGGCATGACAGAAGGGTACCATTGTAGAAGGTAGGGAGGGGGCCGTGAGTTCCACGTGCTTTGCTTGATCAGGATTTGACAGGACTGATTTCTTATACATTTGATGAAATGTTACATCTGATATAGAGAAAAAACTTCAGGCAGAAGGCATTAAAACTATTATACAAGACAGTTCCATCTCATTAGCATGGTAGTTTAATTGCCAAGTGCTTAAGGCAATTTGCAGACTAATGGGTGCATTTGAATTAGCAAATTAACATTGCTATCTAGGGGTAGCAATTTCTGGAAATAAAGTGTGAAATAAGGTGAAAAAGCTGTCAAGCAGAATCCCTTCTGTGTGACAAATGCATTTGAATATGGCTGCAGTAGCACAGAAGAAACCTTCCAACTTTAAAAGTATGCTTAAAGTACAGTCCAAGAGAACATAAAAAGTCTGTACCACCATAAAGTGACCTGGTATCAGTGTGATTTCAACTGGTTTAAGCGAATCTATATATTTGTTTCTAGAAAAATGTCTAAACCTTTGGTATGCTGAAGGAGAGGGTTAAACAAAGAAAACTAAGAGAAGTTATTATTATTCACTGATGCTGAGCCTTGCTGGTTTCTGGAATTTTTCAGGTTTCATGCCAGAGCCATTGTAAGAGTACATAACTCTAAATGCTTAGAAATTTCTAGCAGTTAGTGCCATGATGGAAATTATCCCAATTCTATAGAAAAGTCCCTTTATAGGTTAAAGGCAAAATTTTCAAACCAAGTTCAGTTCAGTGTCAAATTTGTTCAGTGGTGTACATTCTTTTTTGGCCGTGCAACAATCCAGAAATGCCTTAATTCTATGTTCTCACTTACCATGTGTGAGCTCTGGGCAATTTATCAGGACTTCCCCATTGCTCTATTGTAAACAGCTGAGGACCATTTGAACCTGGACAAAAAGTAAAAACACACGAGGATAAACAGTGGATTTGTGATGGGGCTGCATAAATGCTAGAGCCAACAATTAAATGTTTGCACAAATTACAGGCTAGGTTCTCAGCTGATGCAAATTTGTGTAATTTCATTTCACTTGAAAGCTACATTAAAGCAGTGAAGGACTGAACTCTGCATTTGTAAATACTATGCGCTTGTTATTCCATACACCTGCAATGAATGTATTGAGTGCCAGAAACATGAATACAAATCACTGCTGCAAAAGTAATGTGTTTGTGCGTTTCCAACATGCGGAAGCACCACATGCATGTACTTTACACAGAAATAAAGTGATTTCTGCCAAGGACAAGCTGCATGTATGCACTGATGTCATTGTGGGACCAGAAATGCTTCTGACACACAGGCCTGACCTTGATCATCCCTTTACATTTCCTGTCAGGGAGGGTTTAAGAAATCTCCATAGGTTTTCAAGTGCTAGGGACAAAAAAAATTCAGTTTACTTGGGCTCAAAATCTCTTTCACAATTTCCCTGGCTCCCCTAATTTATAGGTTTTCCAACTGTCACCTGGGGCAAAATTCTGTTCCACCTCTTATGTGTTTAAGTGGACTTAGGCACCCAAATGTTATTTTATTCCTCACTCAAGTCCCTGAAAATCTTGCTCAGGTCTCTAAAAATCAACAAATGTAAAAACTGCCATCTTACCCATACAGCCAAGTCACAAAAAAGCAGGGGGTGGGGGAAGAGACCCAACTACCTTTTGTAATAACAGTTTTTCAGGGACTCGGGTAGAGTGAAACAGTATTGCATTCAGGTCCCTAAGTCCATTTGGAGGTTGGAAAAGAATCTGATCTCATCACGTGCACCAATGGTCTCAATGTTTCAGAGAAAAGAGATTTTAGAGCTTAGACACACCTATGATCAATCCATTATTAACTCACCGTAAAGTTCAGCAAATCCATTCATAGGCACTCGTGATGTCCCCGTAACAAACTGCAGTAACCGGATACGTTTCTCAGCATCCATCAGTAACACAGCCTATTAACAAATATGTACAGTGACTATGCTTTTTTACTTCATGCCACAGGATGGGCTGTCATCAGCTAGATTTTTTTTTTAAACCAATTTTTATTTCTATTGCAGGAACTTGACAACAGACTTCAAAAAGACAGAGCCATACAGTGTTTACGACCACAGCCATGAAACCAGGCTTTCTAGTCTTAGCCCGAAGAGACTTCTCTCAGTTGCCGCTGTTAATAAGAAAACGTCACACAGCTGTCTGCTGTGGTTTGGATGAGCTGGCAGTCTTTTTGGTACAATCTGTACAAACTGCTACAGCACACTAAGTGGTTGAATCACATCAGTAATCTTCCTAATGGAAGGAGATTACAGAAAAGCAAATGACTGAGATTCCTCAAAACTGAATAAAAAAAGTGGCTACTCTGTTCTACGATATTTGATTAGTTTCACTTAACAGACGTGATATATTTGCTAGAGTCAGATGACAGAGAAGGAATCCAAAAGGGAAAAGAAAACCAAGTAGACACTGTATTTCAATGCCAAATTATTACCCATCTTACTGTTCTGAGGTGGTAGGCTTGTATCCGTCTATTATGGCTATTCTAACCCCTTGATATATAAAAAGGGCAAGAAAGCATTGACATGGTTTTGATATGTTGTTTTTACCTATGACAAACATCTCTATGACATTTTCTAGAATCACAGTCCCAACTTTTTCATTCTTTTATGCTCCTTCCAAGAAGGAGCTCACATTTAATGAAGCAGACACTGCTGCTTTCCTCATGAAATAGGCCAAGAAATACAAGTCCATCTTCAAGTAGGAAAATAAGTACAAACGAAGAATGAAATTTCAGGGCTGAACACACAAACTAAACTGATATTGTAGGTTAGACCTCCATGCTGGTACAGGCACAGGTTAACACAGGGCAGGAAACAAGATGGATCCCTTTCTCCTGTTCCTCAAAGAAGACATGCTCCTAATTTGGGGAGGGGAGCAAAAATCCAGTAATATTAAGAAGTCACTGGCTAGCTGAAGTGTGCATCAGATGGATTTGAATTATGCAGAGAAAACTAGGAAGACAGAAGAGCTAGAAGAAACCCAGTTATGGTAGCAGAGAGTGAATCAGACTGACCTTCCCATGGCAAAATGGACTGTAGGTATAGAGGCATCAGTTAATGGGAAGAGGAAATAGCTCCTCTTCCATGAAGCAATGAAGAAATTTTACAAAAACTAAACACATATCATAGGGTTAAACAGTATGCACAAGGATACACCAGGCATAGGATGTGGGTTGTATGTAAGAACATAAACAAGCAAACCCAACTGGGTTTAATGGCCATCATTAACATCTTTATTTCTATGAACATCTGTAACCTTATAGAAATATTACACCACAAGTCATTCAGCTAGAGACAGGCCTGAACCTAAACCCCAAATTCAAACTTCATGGCTTGTATTTAGATTTAATTTACTCTATCTACTAAGACATCCATCAATAGTAATTGGGAGCTTTTCATCATGGCTGTCCAGCTTGCATAAATGTTGTTCAGCACCCTCATTGAGGATAAAAACCTCAGACCTGACAGTACTGTATGCAGTATAATGCTGTACATTTGACTCTCAGAAATACAAGCATAATAAACAGAATGTGGTAAATGTATTACCTTCCAGAACCACTGGATTAAAGGATGGTTTGGACAGTATCCGTTCTTGTAGATCGTATGTTGTCTCCAGTCATTAACATCAACATCTCCAAGGCCACACATTAGTAACTATATATAGATATAATTGTTAATAGAAAATAGTACAGTAAGGAAACCACTGTACCTATTCTAACCCTTCCCTCTGCTGCCTCCCTGTTTTACACTGCTAAGCACTGGAAATACAAATGCAAAGAGAAGTCGTACTGTTTCCTCAGTGGAGTTCTCAAAGTATTTTCATGTCCCTGTAGTGCAGAGGACACTATAATTAATATGGTTGCTCCACAGAGCACAGACTACATCTTTTATTGCATTTAACATAAAACCACACAAACTGCTAGCATAATAATGATGGCCCTGGTTCAACAAGCTATTTGAATTTAGGTGCTTTAAAGGTATGCACATACTTAGGCATCTCACTGAATTAGGGAGTATATATTTTTTTCAATTCAATGAAAAGCACTTCCCTAACCTCCAGTCATTCTTATATGAAAAAGAGATTCCTTAGACTAAATAACTAGAAAGAAAACTTTCCCACTCATTACTAATTAGTGTATCAGCCCCGCCCCACCCCTCCCAGTATGTACTTCTAGACCTGCGGTGGGCAATTACGTCAGCTGGCAGGCCCCTTAATGAATTTGATGAGCTGTCAAGGGCCGCACAAAAAATCTTTCAAAAGATATTTCAACAAATTATAGGTAAGAAACAAATCATATACTAAAAATCAAACATCTACTATAACATATTTTAATTTTATTTCAAAAAAGATTTTTTGTCTTGATTTATGTTTGAGTAGTGTATATAGAAGCAACTGCATAATAGCTCAAAATAGTCTTACTCATATATATTGTGTCTGGGGAGGCTGAGGGGTTGTGTGAGAGGGGCAGGTGTGCATTTGAGGTGCTGCCTGTGTGCTAGGTTCCAGGAGCTGGCTGCATGGGGGGGGGGGGGGGGGGGGGGGGCAAG